CCAGGTCTGTCGAGGCGACAGCGTCTGAATGATACAGCACACGTGCTTGGAGCATATATAAGCTGGGTTGGAAGGGGGGGAAAGAGCGCCTTGACAAAAGAATATGCATATCAAGAGGCATTTAGCATATTTATGGGAAATGCAGGTATGTGATTAGTACTACTCATGCCCGTGCATTATGCAGGATTAGCAGCATCAAAGGGAGGGGATATGGGAAATGCAGGTATGTGATTAGTACTACTTATGCCCGTGCATTATGCAGGACTAGCAGCATCAAAGGGAGGGGATATGGGAAATGCAGGTATGTGATTAATACTACATATGCCCGTGCATTATGCAGGATTAGCAACCAGGGTGTGCCCCACTGAGCTGTGTAGCTGTTTTTCAGAAGCGACTGGCTATCACAAATAAGAGCTCAACGAAGTGACTTGTCATCATCGTCATTACGTGGACATTTATAGCAGCCAAATATTCTCAACGCATGACGTTGGTTCTATATGTCGAGGGAAAAAAACGAAGGACCCGGAGAAAAATCCACGCAACCACGGGGAGGTATTCGCCATGAAAGTTTGCACAGACAAGGAATTTACTATGGCCGGAAGGTGCATACATTCAACATGTAGGAATCTTAAAACTGAAATGAGTGGTATACAGTCAAACTATACTAAAATTACAAAGTCTAACTATACTAAGGGGCTAAAGTATGTAAAATTGTGAATAAGTGTACAATATAAATGTAAACTAGCCATAATATACAATCTAAAATACAAAAATACAAATAGGGTAACATGTTGTAAACTATACAGTCGGGATGGAACCCACGACCTCCTGTAGACCATGCGAGGGAGTTAACATCTCGCCACGGAGGAGAGAGAGACACGCAGACTCCAAATATACAGCAGGCTTCGTCAGGGTCGGGATGGAACCCACGACCTCCCGTATACCACGAGAGGTAGTCAACATCTCGCCGTGTTTGCCTGCAGGCTCCTCCGTGCCGCCGGCCTCCGCCCAGGCTGTGGCGGTGTCGCGCAGCGCTCGCTCTCGCTACGGCCTGCGCCCGCGCGAGAGGAAAGTCTACACAGAGGTGGAGGAGCCCCAGGACGACGACTTCTTCTGTGAGACCCCCTGCTCCCTCTCACTCTCTCTCACTTTCTCACTCTCTCTCTCACACTGTCACTTTCTCACACTCTCTCTCTCACTGTCACTTTCTCACACTCTCTCTCTCACTGTCACTTTCTCACACTCTCTCTCACACCGTCACTTTCTCACTCTCTCTCTCTCACTGTCACTTTCTCACACTCTCTCTCACACTGTCACTTTCTCACACTCTCTCTCACACTGTCACTTTCTCACTCTCTCTCTCACACTGTCACTTTCTCACACTCTCTCTCACACTGTCACTTTCTCACACTCTCTCTCACACTGTCACTTTCTCACACTCTCTCTCACACTGTCACTTTCTCACACTCTCTCTCACTGTCACTTTCTCACACTCTCTCTCACACTGTCACTTTCTCACACTCTCTCTCACACTGTCACTTTCTCACACTCTCTCTCACACTGTCACTTTCTCACACTCTCTCTCACACTGTCACTTTCTCACACTCTCTCTCACACTGTCACTTTCTCACACTCTCTCTCACACTGTCACTTTCTCACACTCTCTCTCACACTGTCACTTTCTCACACTCTCTTAGGGCCGTCCATTAATGGCGTCACGCGATTTTGGACCCCCCTCCCCCCCATCACACGACATCACAAAAAGTCAGACCCCCCCCTCAAATGTGACGTCACAAAGCTCATTTAATATGCTTAAAATCGCTTCAAACTATTGTCATTGTAGTGCATATTTAATGTGGCACTGCAGTCTGATGTTGTAGGAGAAAACATTTATTAAAAAGTATTTAATTAAGTAGAACGTGTTGTCTGTGGTTCCTCACACATCGTCACAAATGTCTGACCCCCCCACCCCCCTAGGTGCATGAAGTCATTTATGGACGGCCCCTTACTCTAACTTTCTCACACTCTCTCCTATCTCTCTCTATTGCTCCCGCGCTCTCACTCGATATATTCCACCTGCTCCCTCTCACTCTCTCTCCCTTTCCCTCCCTCTCACACGCTCCCTTTCTCGCACTCTCACTTACCTCCCTGTCTTTTGCTCCCTCACTCAGGGATGCAGGGAGGGAGCAGGGAGGGTGACAGGGTTTACATCTCCGATGAGCGAGCTAAAGAAGTTCACAATGCAGAGAGGGAGGAAAGGAGGCATCTGTCTGGAGCGCTCCTCACCCTCTCACTCTCTCACAGTGCCACTGCTGCTGCTGCTGTTGCTACTGCGGTTCGCCCTCCTCCTGCTGCTGCTGCTGTGGCTCTCAGTCTGCGAGCTGTGCAGGGATTTCTACCTGGGGGAGTGCTCCGTGCACGGCCCGCCAGAGTTCATTGCAGACGCGGCCGTGGCCCCGGGAGTGGCCAACAGGGCCCGGCTCAGCCTGCCCCAGGGCCTCACCGTCGGCGCCTCCTCCATCGCCGGCGCCGGCCTCGGGGTGTGGAGCAACAGGAAGAAGCTGCCCAAGGGGGTGATTTTTGGGCCCTACCAGGGAGAGGTGTCTGAGGAGAACCCCGTGAGCGAGTACTGCTGGCTGGTGAGCTGCTGCTGCTACTGCTGCAGCCTCCTCCTATTCCTACATCATCGTGTGTGTGGAGAGGAGGCTCGTGAAGGAGATGCAGAGAAACCCATAGCCTCACACAGTCACCCACAGACTTACACAGAGATCTAGAGACTGGCACAGAGAGACCCAGAGACTCACAGAGACCCATAGACTCACACAGAGACCCATAGACTCGCACAGAAACCCATAGACTCACACAGAGACCCATAGACTCGCACAGAGACCCATAGACTCGCACAGAGACCTATAGACTCGCACAGAGACCCATAGATTCACACAGAGACCCATAGACTCGCACAGAGACCCATAGCCTCACACAGTCACCCACAGACTCACACAGAGACCCAGAGACTGGCACAGAGAGACCCAGAGACTTTGCACAGAGACCCAGAGACTCGCATAGAGAGACCCACAGACTTGCACAGAGACCTAGAGACTTGAACAGAGACCCAGAGACTCACAGTGGGACACACAGACTCACACAGAGACCCAGAGACTCACACAGAGAGACCCAGATACTCACACAGATGCTCAGAGAATCGCACAGAGAGATCCACAGTCTCACACAGAGACCCAGAGACTCGCACAGAGACCAAGAGAATCGCACAGAGACCCACAGTCTCACACAGAGACCCAGAGTCGCACAGATACCCTAGAGACTCGCACAGAGACCCAGAGACTCGTACAGAGACCTAGAGACTCACCCAAAGACCCCCAGAATCACAGAGAGACCCAAAAATTAACGTAATTATTTGAACTTGTAACACACAGCAAAGACGGTGGTCACCGCATGGCGCGGCGCTTACAGATGCACTTCTGCGGCCGTCTGGAAGGTTCTTCCTTCCAATGTTAGGAAGCCACTGGGAGCTATGCACTTTAAAATCTTGTAGATTGAAAATGCATTTCTTTAGAACTGCTTTTAGTGTTTAGTTTGTTGTCCTTCCCCCGCACCTCCGATCAGCATGGTTGGCTACGTGCGGTACGAAAGAAGTTCAACTTACAGTCCAACTGACATTAATTATCCGTGGATCCGCTCGTGTGCGTGTGTGTTTCAGATTTACAAAAACAAAAAGGATCGTGAATATGTTGATGCTCAGGATGAATCTAAATCAAACTGGATGAGGTGATTATTGTCTGAAGGACCACTACACAGAGACCAGAACCACTACACACAGAGACCAGAACCACCACACACAGAGACCAGAACCACCACACACAGAGACCAGAACCACTACACACAGAGACCAGAACCACTACACACAGAGACCAGAACCACTACACACAGAGACCAGAACCACTACACACAGAGACAAGAACCACTTCACACAGAGACCAGAACCACTACACACAGAGACCAGAACCACTACACACAGAAACCAGAACCACTACACACAGAGACCAGAACCACCACACACAGAGACAAGAACCAGCACACACAGACCAGAACCACTACACACAGAGACCAGAAACACCACACACAGAGACCAGAACCACTACACACAGAGACCAGAACCAGCACACACAGAGACCAGAACCACTACACACAGAGACAAGAACCAGCACACACAGAGACCAGAACCACTACACACAGAGACCAGAACCACCACACACAGAGACCAGAACCACCACACACAGAAACCAGAACCACCACACACAGAGACAAGAACCACCACACACAGAGACCAGAACCACTACACATAGAGACCAGAACCACCACACACAGAGACAAGAACCACTACACACAGAGACCAGACCCACTACACACAGAGACCAACCTGGGCCTCCCCTTGGTCGACTCGGCATCAAATGAGCACCCGGTACGGAGCGTGGTTCCAGCCACACCACCCCCACGTAGCGCCCAGTGCCGGCCCTTAATAGGCGCTCGCTAACGGCGCCCACCCCGCCCCCGCGTCTGCCCGCGCAGGTTCGTCAACTGCGCGAGGAATGAGCAGGAGCAGAACCTGGTGGCCTTCCAGCACCGGGGCAGATTTACTACCGCACATTCCGTGCCGTGGGGCCCGGCTCTGAGCTGCTGGTCTGGTACGGCGAGGAGTTCGCCCAGGAGCTGGGCATCGCCTGCGAGGCCGGGCCCTCGCGACGCCGCAGCAGCAGCAGCAGCGAGATGGCTCCTAGGGCCACCGCCAGAGACCTGCAGCCCGTGCAGCCTCCACCAAGCGAGGAACACCGTGAGCACTGCTCACCAGAGACTCACCACTGCTCACCAGACTATAGCCACCACTCACCAGAGATGATAGCCACCACTCACGAGAGACGATAGCCACCACTCACCAGAGATGATAGCCACCACTCACCAGAGATGATAGCCACCACGCACCAGAAATGATAGCCACCACTCACCAGAGATGGCAGCCACCACTTACGAGAGACGATAGCCACTACTCACCAGAGACGATAGCCACCACTCAGTAGAGATGATAGCTACCATTCACCAGAGATGATAGCGACATCTCACCAGAGATGTGGATGTAGCTACCACTCACCAGAGATGATAGCCACCACTCACTAGAGATGATAGCCACCACTCACCAGAGATGATAGCCACATCTCACCAGAGTTGGTAGCCACCACTCACCAGAGATGACAGCCACCACTCACCAGAGATGATAGGCACCAGCCACACTGATAAGGTGGAAGTGAGTAACTGGTGTGGTGTGTAGTAGTAAACATCGCCACTGGGGAGACAAAGGCGGCTATGTGTGGTGCTGGCCACCCTCCCACTCGTGTGCCGTGTTGGCTTTCATTGGTGCCCATAACAGCACTTGTCCCAAAAGTATATACAGGCTATATGGGGGTTCTTTGTCTTTGTGTGTATATAATGGAGCCCACTGCACTACGAACCCGGCCACCTGAGTTCGATTCCCACTCACGGCCAACGTCAGTGGTGAATATTTAGGCCTCCCCTAGGCTGACTCAGCCTCAAATGAGTACCTAGCTTAAACGTGGAAACATCGCCACTGGAGAGACAAAGGCGGCCGGGCCTGGTGTTGGCCACCTACTCCCTCGTGTGCCATGCCGGCCTTCATAGGTACTCGCAAACAGCACTTGCCCAACAGTCTGATATGGCTGTGGGAAACCTTTACCTTTGTGTATACACACACGTGTGCAAGAGTGTTCATGTCTAGATGTTGGTGTGTGCGCGTGTGTCTTGTTCCTCTGGGATGACGCAGGTGGAGTGGGTGTGGAGGTCACAAGGCTGCCGTGTCCTGCCTGCAACCGTCAGTTCATCTGCCGCTCGAGTCTACAGTATCACGTGCAGAGCAGACACCACTAAGCCCAGTAACAAAAGTCATCAGTGTGACCAATGTCCATACAGCACAGACTACAAGAGTACCTTGAAGAAGCACCAGAAACACACGGGAGAGAAGCCGTTCAAGTGCACCGTGTGTGAGAAGGCGTTTGCACGGCTATCACATCTTCACAGCCACCAGAGAACACACACGGGAGAGAAGCCGTTCAAGTGCACCGTGTGTGAGAAGGCATTTGCACATTTACAACATCTTCACAGCCACCAGAGAACACACACGGGAGAGAAGCCGTTCAAGTGCACCGTGTGTGAGAAGGCATTTGCACATTTACAACATCTTCACAGCCACCAGAGAACACACACGGGAGAGAAGCCGTTCAAGTGCACTGTGTGTGAGAAGGCGTTTGCACAGCTATCAGATCTTCACAGGCACCAGAGAACACACACGGGAGAAAAGCCGTTCAAGTGCACCGTGTGTGAGAAGGTGTTTGCAGACCCATCCAGTCTTTGCCGGCACCAGAGAACACACACCGGCCAGAATGCATTTTCTCATTCCCGTGGAAACAGAAAAGTCAGCCATCCTGAGCAAAACGCGCACAGCGCCGAGCTGTGAATTAGTTTTAAACAACAGGCCACGTGACTAGCCGAGGCTGTGCCACTCTTGAAACTGATTTTGAATGTGAACACGGAAACCTACGGACCCTCCTACACCTGCCTCACTCTGTGGGGGGTGGGAGATTAAACCGACCTGGCCACCCCTCGATTGCAAGTGCGGAGTTCTAGGTCCCAACCACTGCACGTGTCCCCCCCCACCCCCATCACCTGGGGGTCCCTGTGTGTGTGAGTGTGCAGAGTCCCCCGTGCAGAGCTGCACTGTTGTTACCCTAGAGGGGGACACCGCAGGGCGATCCACCTACAGATACCCCAGTCTGCACGTCTCCCGCCGGTCTCCATGCGCACCGCGTGCCGTCTCGTAGCCCTGCCCCGTGCGACGTACGTACAGTACGTACAGTACGTACCCATCCAGCGGTAGACTGAACCGCGGCCGATGACGAAGGTGGCATCCGCTCACAAATCTCCGTGCACTCAGTCCCGTAGCCCTGAGCCATCGCTTGCGCGATATTCACTTTGCCGCTGAGAGGAAAGCTACGGGGAGGAGGTGGGGGGGGGTGTTAGGAGAGGACATCTGTGGAACGGCTGGAGATCTGCGAAGAAGAGCTTCATAGCTCATCGGATTCCTGCGGTCTGAAAAAATATTCCGAGAGGGCGTTGGGGGAGGGGGGTGTAGGTATGATTGGGGCATCTGCACTTGGATCACCCTGCGTGTTGTTGCTGCCTCCCCCGTTGAAAATGTTCCCAGCGTGAACTTAACCCTTTGCCGTCGCGACGACGCCGCGCGCCGTGCGTGAACGTCGTCGTCGGAATAACAAAACGCAGTAAAAACTAAAGCAACATTATCGGTACCGAGGCTCCCACAGGGCCACGCGGGGCAGGGAGTGTGGCACAGTTTTCGCGCCGGCTAGCGCAGAGTGGCGGCGGTCGTGTCGCTACGCTTCTCTGCGGTGAGCAACGACGTCTTTATAACAACAACAGCATGCTGCTGCTGCTGCTGCTGCCACTGCTGCGGTGAACGGTGACAGCCACCCCGTGACCTGTGACCCCCACCCCGTGAACGGTGACACCCACCCCGTGAACGGTGACACCCACCCCGTGAACGGTGACACCCCATGGGTGGAAAAAACCCGATTTTTCCAGCTGCAGGCATCGGGTTTTTTCTTTAACACAATTAAACCCGATTTCGGGGAATTAAAACCTGGTTTAATGAATACGAAACTCTGATAGGCTTAGGCTGCTTCCTCGTCGGTGCTGCTATGGTACTCGGGCCGTCGGGCACGGGGTAGTCGTAGAATGCGGCGGGCAGGTTGGTCTTAATGAACACGAGCTTCTCCACAATCGTGGGCGCCAGTGAGTTCCTTAGCTTGGAATGGATGAAGCCCATCGTTGAGAAGTGCGGTTCTGCAATTAGAACCAATGAAACCGGATTTCTCTCAATCTTAGATGATCGGGTTTAATATAAAAAGACAATTAAACCCGATTGTAAAAAACCCGACTGTGCCACCCTTGTGACACCCACCCTGTGAACGGTGACACCCACCCCGTGAACGGTGACACCGACCTGCAACTCTGCAGACGTCTCGGACGCGGGAAAGGGTTGAGAGATTTTCTGCGTCGTCCCGGTTGCTCGCGTGATGTCGCACGGTGGTGGCGCGCGTTGACTCTTGCACGTTTAAGAAAGTTGAGCGTTAGTTTGTGATTCTGTTTAAAATGATATATATACACTTAAACTAACAAACATTATCTTGGGATTCTACCAAGTAAGGTCCAACTGGATACGTAGTAGCTCTTTTATCAGACGCGACCACCTGGCCATCACAAATGAAAGCTCAACGAAGTGGCTTATCATTGTGTGGACATTTATAGCGGCCAAATACTCTGATTGCGTGATCTCGATTCTAAATGTCGAGGGAAAACCGGAGGACCTGGAGAAAATCCACACGACCACGGGGAGAGAGAGAGAGAGACGCGCAAACTCAAAATATACAGCAGGCGTCAGGGTCGGAATCAAACACACGATCTCCTGTATACCAGGAGAGGTAGTTAACATCTCCACATGTGTTCAGAGTATTTGGCTGCTGTAAATGTCACGTGATAAGCCACTTCGGTGCGCTGCTGTCATTTGTGATAGCCAGGTCGCTACTACACAGCTCAGTGGGGGCCTTACCTGGAAAAGTAAAATGATTAATAAAAATCTACTGTATTCTTGGTTCTTTTGGTAAAGTCACGTAGAAGGGAAATAATAAAATAATAAAAATGTAAGAATCAAATTAACACGACGTTTCGATTGCAACACAAGCAATCATCAGTTTATGAAAACCCAACAACAAAAACAATATTGCTGTGGTTTTCACACCTGATGATGATTGCTTGCGTTGCAATCGAAACGTCGTGAGAATTGTATAGTTT